CCTCTGACTCCAGCACCCCCACTGCCCCATTACAGCCCCCTGCCCTCGGAACCCCCAGAGCTCCTGCTGCCAGCCCAGCCCCAACCCCAGCCCCTACAGTCCCTGGGGAGAACATGAAGCCAAAGAGAGCAGGAAAGAATTCGGCATCCCTGAGATTATGGGGACCTCGTCCTGCCCTGCCCTCAGCCCTCGCCCACCCCTAGACCCAGAGCCCTTCCCCCATTAGCAGCTGCGCCCCCTGCTCCGCCCCCGTGCAGACACCTGCCTAGAGGGCTCTTCCCCAGCCAGCTCTGCCCGGGACAGCAGGATCCCTGTGCTCTCATTGGCTCTGCCGGGGACAGCAGGACTCCCTGTGCTCTCATTGGCTCTGACGGGGACAGCAGGACTCCCTGTGCTCTCATTGGCTCTGACGGGGACAGCAGGACTCCCTGTGCTCTCATTGGCTCTGACGGGGACAGCAGGACTCCCTGTGCTCTCATTGGCTCTGACGGGGACAGCAGGACTCCCTGTGCTCTCATTGGCTCTGACGGGGACAGCAGGACTCCCTGTGCTCTCATTGGCTCTGACGGGGACAGCAGGACTCCCTGTGCTCTCATTGGCTCTGACGGGGACAGCAGGACTCCCTGTGCTCTCATTGGCTCTGACGGGGACAGCAGGACTCCCTGTGCTCTCATTGGCTCTGACGGGGACAGCAGGACTCCCTGTGCTCTCATTGGCTCTGACGGGGACAGCAGGACTCCCTGTGCTCTCATTGGCTCTGCCGGGGACAGCAGGATTCCCTCTGCTCTCATTGGCTCTGCCAGGGACAGCAGGACTCCCTGTGCTCTCATTGGCTCTGCCGGGGACAGCAGGATCCCTGTGCTCTCATTGGCTCTGCTGGGGACAGCAGGATCCCTCTGCTCTCATTGGCTCTGCCGGGGACAGCAGGACTCCCTGTGCTCTCATTGGCTCTGACGGGGACAGCAGGACTCCCTGTGCTCTGGCTCTTTCTCCTGCAGGCCAGCCGGAAAGCGGGGACCCAAAGCAAAGCAGCCGCCAAGCGTGCCCAGCGGGGCTCCTCCAACGTCTTCTCCATGTTTGAGCAGTCTCAGATCCAGGAGTTCAAGGAGGTGAGGGTGCCGCAGCCGTTGCGTGTGGACGCCTGCACCCTGGGCATCCCGGGCCATGCACCGGGCTATGGCCCACGGTCAGAGCAGTGCCAGGTCCGTGGCCTTTGCAAAGGGGGGAGGGGGCACATTCCGCGCTGGAGACCCCAGCTGGTCTCCACACACACAGAGCGAGCTAGAGCCCGAGCCTCAGTCTCCTCCCAGGGAGGCTGCCGCGTGACGCGGCTTTACGGCTTCGCACCCAGCAGCTGGACGCACAAGAACCCAAGCCAGAGAGAGGCAACGCAGGCTGCTCCCCCTCACCCCCCCTTGCTGTCGGCTGACAGGCTGCACAGGCCCCCGATTGCAGGCTACCCTGCAGAGCCCCTCCCCCCAGGCAAGCAGGACTTATAAGCCCCCCATATACATTAAGGAGCCAGCTTGGGCTTTTCCCAGTTTGCACCACATGTCCCCGTCACTGGCCGGTTCCTGAGCCTCTTGTGGCCACGTTTCCTAGCTCTTCTCCCTCGCCACGAGGGAGTCATTCGCAACCAAAGCCGAGAGTCTCCCCGGATCACCTGACTCCAGGAGCTGGGGCTTGAAGGTGGAGGAGTCAGCCTCTGGGGTCGCAGGGCATCATGGGGCCAAAGGACTCAGCTGGGGCAAGCTGGGCCGGAGCTCCCCACTCCTGCTGGGGCCAGGCTAGGGAGCAGGGAGGATGCCAGCTGGAGGGAGGAGTGCGAGGCTGGGTCAGGCTGAGCACCGTGTTCTGTCCCCAGGCATTCAGCTGCATTGACCAGAACCGCGACGGCATTATCACCAAATCAGACCTGAAGGAGACCTACTCCCAGCTCGGTGAGTGAGCCCCCGCCCCGCACCTTGGCCAGGGGCAGGAACCAGAGCTCCTAATAGCCATCACCACTAAATGCCTGGCCCCAGCAACGCTCCCCCCCCAGCCCCTGGCCTGTCTCTCCCCGAAAGCTTCAGAGGTGTCCAAAGAATGACCAAAATGTCAGACAATATCGTCTCTCCATCTGTCCCCGTACACCCCCTTTCATTTGCTCCCATTTCCCTCCCCCCACATCCCCATACTGACTATCTATCTATCCCCACACACCCCATCTATCTATCTATCTATCTATCTATCTATCTATCTATCTATCTATCTATCTATCTATCTATCCCCCCACACCCCCTCTATCTATCTATCTATCTATCTATCTATCTATCTATCTATCCCGTGTTCATCACCGTGGCATCGGGCCTTCCCTGCACACAATCTGCAGTGATTTCGTGAAGCCATTCAGTGACGGCTCTTATTGCATTTCCGTTTAACTCAGTTCCTAATGAACTCAAGCTAACAGCCAAGACAATGGGGTCTGTCTGCACTGGGATTAGGCACCCAGGCTGGCCTGGGCCAGGTAGCTCCTCAGGCTATGGGGCAGTTTTACTGTGGGGCAGAAACTGGGGCTGCAGACTTTGCAGGGCCCCTGAGCCCGAGTCAGCTGGGCCTGGCCCCCCTGGGTCTAAGTGCAGTGCAGACTTGCCCACGGAGGCTGGGGCCACAGCATGGGCCCTGTCAGAGGAAGCCGGACCCAGTTCACCCATGACTACGTAGCCACCCCCAAGAGAGCCGGGGAGAGGAGGCAGCTGGTGTCTTTCGACACCCGCTGCAGACTTTGCAGGGCCCCTGAGCCCGAGTCAGCTGGGCCTGGCCCCCCTGGGTCTAAGTGCAGTGCAGACTTGCCCACGGAGGCTGGGGCCACAGCATGGGCCCTGTCAGAGGAAGCCGGACCCAGTTCACCCATGACTACGTAGCCACCCCCAAGAGAGCCGGGGAGAGGAGGCAGCTGGTGTCTTTCGACACCCCGGCAGCTGTTTGGGGAGGTGGGAGAAGTCGAGGGGCTGGTCCAGCTTTGCTGCTCCCTCCCCCGCAGGGCCCGGGGGGCA